ACAGTCTTATTGTTTGTGGGTCACCCGATATGATACACATTTTAGCACTTAGAGACTTAAACGAAGTAAAGAACAGCAGCGCTAAACCAAATATTATTTTAGGTTTATTTGTAAGATATTTGAAGATTAAATACAGTTGATGGCCTGTGTCTGTAAGAACTTGTACTCTCACAACTCACGTCAAACAAAACATCCAAATATAAATATGGTTACGCGCATATTTTATAGTTACGCGCCCTGAGATGTAACCGTGCTGTTGATATATATGGAGTGTATACTGTAAACCAGACCACATGTCAAATTATTGAAATATATTTTGAAAATGACAACTAGGGCGGTAGAGATGATACTTCCGTACCATGCGGGGGAGGGAGAATGGGTAGAGAGGGGAGGGGGAGGCCGAGGGTAGAGGGGGGGGGGAACACTGTGATATCTTTCAATTTGGACATGACATGACTAAGTAGAATTGAGGAAGAGATTACAGAAAGGATCAGATAAGAAGAGAGGATAAGAGAAAGAGAGAAGTTAAAAAATTATCGAGGATTAAGAATAACTTTAAAACGATAAAAAAGTTTGTTTTTACAGATTTTCTGCTATTTACACTCATAAATTCTGAAAAGTATGTGTAACGTTAGAGGGGGGGGGGTCATCTAACGCCGCTCCCCCCCCCCCCCCCTTAGTTGTCAAATTTAATTTGAATATTTCAAAGAAGTTTTTAAGTTTGAATTTGATATGGAATTTTTAGTAAAGACTTCATTATTAATATTTCGTTCTATATAATCATAATTTTATCTAGATTTGAAGCTCATTGAGAAAAGTGTTACAAATTCCAGCACTACCCGGCACACCAAATGTGTGCAAAAAGCATTGATAGTGTGCAATTTCATTTTGGCAAACACCCGGCTTCTCGTTCTACTCTAAATGGGAGCAAAAAGGAGTTTAGTTCTTTTGAGCGAACCATTTAAACCGAGACTAAGATGGGTAAAATTTGGTTTTAAACATTCAGCTTACATTAGTAGATAGAAATAGGGTTGGTATATAGTGTATTAAACATATACCTTACATTAGTAGATAGAAATAGGATTGGTGTATGGTTGTATTAAACATATACCTTACATTAATAAATATAAACATATAAACCATTAGCAAAATGCATATAGTAAAGAATAAACAGGGTTACCCACAAGGAATCGGACTTATGAGACGAAGCTGTACGGAAGTTATTGAGTTCTATTTTAAACATCCAAAAAACACCAAGCGTTTTTTTGTGCACTTTGTCGGATGTGTGCCACAGATTCAACATAGTTGTTTTTGCATGGTAGTTTTTATGCGTTAAATGCTTTTTGAAAAGTTATTATATATATATATATCAATATATACAACAACTATTAACCATTTTTAATGATCAGTGAGCGTAATTTCAAGTGACCCTCCATGCAAAAATTCACAACAGTACCCTTGAACTCTTAGCGTTGTTAAGAATGAATTAGATAGCTATGTTTTTGTTTCTAAAACCCGTTTATTTTCATTTTCAATTTCTCTGCAAAGGTTACATGCGCATTTAGGGCTTATAAGAAGCAATGGCGAAATTATCATAATGGAACAATTTTCCCAGTCAGAGAAAACGACGATATCTTCCACATTTTGATCAGATTAAGGTTTAAAGGGTAATGTTGTAAATCGGGCATTTCTATCTTTGCTTGGAAGTTCACTTGTAATCTCGCTTACAGTCCCTTTAATCATGAATTCAAGATAGATTTGATTAGAAGAGTCTTCTCTAGTTTATTTACTCAGAATCATGCTGCGATAGAGTCAAGGTTATATCTCTAAATATTCCAGTATATATATGTATATATACAGGGTTACCCACTAAGGATGACCATGTTAAGACGACCTGAAACTCTTAAATTTGACTATCTCAAGGTTAAATTGAGAATTTTGCCTTAAAGGAGTTGAGTCTTTGCCACAAACTCTGATTTTGTAATCGGATGTCGGAAACCTTATTTCAAACTATGAATCCTGCTAGATCATATAGTCTAAATTTATAATATCAAATATATAGGATTAGACAATTTTGGTTTGTGGCAAAGACTCAATTCCGTTAGTCTTTAGAAGGCATATTTAATGATTTCGCAATGAAAGAAACAATTTAACAGCTGAAAGGTATCATGAATATTAGGAAACAGACAGTACAAATTTCGTCTTTTGAATAGAACATAGGTTCCAAGTTTTTACGCAGAACAAGTTTTCACAGTGGCGGGGCCCAAAAACAATGTAAGAGAAAAATGGAATAAATTAAAAATGTCGTCCTTATTCTTTATGGGTAATCCTGTACATTATTAGAACATTATTCTTCTAGACATTGTACATAGATGAATAAATTTGTATCTAAAATTACATAAATTATTTCAAAATATGTTTCATGAGATGTTTTGGAATTGTCTTTACCTTTGAAATTTTAAGTTGCACAATTTATTTCAGATTTCCGGAAATTCAGCAAATTTGGCTCTTTGTTGACAAATTATTTTGTATAAAGTTCTTAGGTTATCATGATGTTGCCTGCAGGGGTCCCTGGAACCATCCATAGTCAATATAGAACCTGTTTATATGTGCATATATATCATTGAACTTAACACACATATTCTAATCTATATTCAGATCAGCGAAGAGGAATTTCATTAATTTTTTATGCTTTCTTTAAATCTTCATTATAATTTATATTAGTTTATAGGTTGTCACTTTTAGTTTTTTATATCCCGTGTATTTATAAATTATGTATCCTATCACCTTATGTCCTTAATTTTGCATCCTGTGTTCTGTAAAACTATGTATCATATATATATCGTGTAATTAGTATCCGCTATCCTGTGCACTGTATCCAGTATCCTGAATCCAATACTTAGTGTTCCGTACCCTGCATCCTGTATCCAGTATCCTGTATCCTGTATCCTGCATCCTGTATCCTGTATCCTGTATCCTGTATCCTGTATACTGTATCCTGTATCCTGTATCCTGTATCCTGCATCCTGTATACTGTATCCTGTATCCTATTTCCTGTATCCAGTATCCTGTATACTGTATCCTGTATCCGGCATTTTATATCCTGTATCCTGTTTCCTGTATCCAGCATCCTGTATACTGTATCCTGTATCCTGCATTTTATATCCAGTATCCTGTATCCTATATTATGTATCCTTTATCCTGTACAATCTATCCTGTATCCTGTGCAATATATCCTCTATCTCCTATCCTGTACAATGTATCCTGTATCCTATACAATGTATCCTCTATCCTGTACAATGTATCCTCTATCCTGTACAATGTATCCTGTATCCTGTATCCTGTATCCTGTATCCTGTATCCTCTATCCTGTATCCTGTATCCAGTACCTGTATACTGTATCCTGTATCCTGTATTCTATATCCAGTATCCCGTATCCTATATTATGTATCCTGTATCCTGTACAATCTATCCTCTATCCTGTACAATGTATCCTGTATTCTGTTCAATGTATCCTGTATTCTGTACAATGTATCTCCTTTCCTGTATCCTGTTCAATGTATCTCCTATCCTGTTCAATGTATCTCCTATCCTGTATCCTGTACAATGTATCCTCTATCTCCTATCCTATATACTGTATTCTATTATATATTTGCTCAAAGTATAATTTACTAAAAAATCCATCCAACATTCAATACTCCATCATCTACCTTTACCATCATATCTATTTAACTATTTATATACTTTCAGATCTAGTCATTATATACAACAGCTCACCAGACCTTTTATTTTCCAGTAGACGGGGAAGGGGTCAGAAATATTATTTTCACTCACACAAAAGTCCTTGTATCGTATTTTTTTCATAAAAAAATTGAAACTGTCCTTAACTTCTTTTCTAAAAATATTTTAAGGTTTTGAATATTTCTTTTCATTCTTGGTTTGGTACATTATCAAACAATAAAACGGAACAATTTCGCTGAATTTTCTGATTTTAATTTGTGAAATTTGAAAATTGATGAAAATTAAAAGTGTAGAATTAATGTTTTTTTCAAAAACCATCCCAGCCCAGCCCTGGATCAATTTAGGCCCGACTGGAACAGTAGGCTCAAAGTTTATTGAACCAACAAAAAAACAAATAACGCAATTATATTCAAGAAAGAAGGAAGAACGAAAGCAAGAAAAAAAGTCGTAAAAGATGTGAGATGATAAAGTTGATTATCTATAGATTAAACTGTATGTGTGCCGGTGTTAATGAAGATATTGTGTTTAGCTGTAGAAAACTATGAAAGAATCCTGATTAACCCAATGAGGTGTCCTGGTCCTTGATCTCCGTATTCCCTGGTCTACCCGGAGCAGTGTTGAACCCGTATATCCTTGTTATACTCAGCACCCGGATACATTGGTTTTACGATCTTGAACTATTACATATATATACAACTACTACAGTCTACACCCATCCTTATATTAAACCAGGAGAAAACCACACAGATTAGGCTCAATAAACCTGGGCCTAGGGTTTTTATAGGTTACAGGATATACCAGTCATAGGTGGCAGGAGGGGAAAGGGGAGAATTGTGATTGGGAAGAGGGGGGGGGGGATTAGAGTTTAAAAAAAGATACGAGAAAGTAATAATACTTTTATTCAAATTGTTCCATCACCATAATCCCATGAGATATAAATAGAATACAAAAAAAACAAGAATTTGAAGAAATCAATTCTACAAGTCCTGATTAATGCATACAGAAATACATTTTTATACAGAGGGTCTGTAGGTTTAGAAGGTATAGAACTAGAGGAATAGTTTGAATATACTCCTAGTAGGATTAGAACTAGAGGAGTAGTTTGAATATACTCCTAGTAGGATTAGAACTAGAGAAGTAGTTTAAATATACTCCTAGTAGGATTAGAACTAGAGTAGTAGTTTGAATATTCTCCGAGAAATAGAGGAGTATTCATTCGTGAACCAAATTATAATTTGAATAATAAAATCATTCCAAAATTGGTTTCCGACTATTTATGTAACTTCAAAAGTTTGGAATAATGAGAATTTTGTCATGATTTAGATTTAAAAAATGAACGTACAAATCGTCTTACGAATTATTTTTAATATCTTAAATACTTAAATTGATGCAAATAATATTCTGTTGAATATTAACAATCAAGGTGTCCCGATACAACTCCAGACGCTTTCTTACTCAGAGTCTTAGTTCGGAGTAACCAACAGGTTTTTGTCGTCTCTTCATTTTTATCATCTTCTTTCAATTCTTCTTCTTTTCTCCCTTTTTCTTTTTCATCTTCATCTTCTTTCAATTCTTCCTCTTTTTCATCTACTTTCAGCTCTTCCTCTTTTTCACCTTCATCTTCTTTCAATTCCTTCTTGTTTTCCTCTTTTATTTTTTCCGAAGCTCCCTCCTTTTTCTTCCTATTATCATCTTCTCTTTCTTCCTTATCCTTCTTAAATTCAATCTTTCTTTCCTTTCTTTCCACTTTTTCTACTTTCTCCTCCTCATCTTCTTGTATAATCTTCTCCTCCAAATCATCATGTTCATCTTCTAATGAATCAATCACATTCTCAAATGCATCAATCATCTCATTTTTTTGGAACCAAGTCCAATACTTACAATCCTCATTCTGAAATATTAATATGAAATTGGATTGTATTAAATTAAATTATATTGTATTAGATGGAATTAGATTGGATTGTATTTAATTAGACTATATTGTATTAGATGGAATTAGATTGGATTGGATTAAATTAGATTATATTATATTAGATGGAATTAGATTGGATTGGATTAAATTAGATTATATTGTATTAGATGGAATTAGATTGGATTGGATTGAATTAGATAATATTGCATTAGATGGAATTAGATTGGATTGTATTGAATTAGATTATATTGTATTAGATGGAATTAAATTAGATTGTATTGAATTAGATTATATTGTATTAGATGGAATTAGATTGGATTGTATTAAATTAGATTATATTAGATTATATTGTATTAGATGGAATTAGATTGGATTGTATTAAATTAGACTATCGTGAATTAGGTGGAATTAGATTGGATTGGATTAAATTAGATTATATTGTATTAGATGGAATTAGATTGGATTGGATTGAATTGGACTAAATTGGATAGAATTGGATTAGTTTGGATTTGATTTGATTGGAATGGGTAGAATTGGATTGGATTAAACGAAATAGGATTTAATAGCATTAAATTGGACTGGATTGGATTATATTGCACTTGATTGGATTGGATTATATTGGACTTCATTGGATTGTATTAGATTAGATTGGATTTGATTGAATTGGATTAGATTAGATTGGATTGGATTCAATTGGATTAAATCAAGTTGGATTGGATTTATTTAAATTGGATTGGATTAAATTGGATTTAATAGGATTAAATGGATGGAATTAGATTTTATAAGATTTATTGAATATGGTTAGGTTCGATTAGCTGGGATTGGCTTAATTTAGATTGGATTGGATTGAGTGGGATTAGATTAAATTGGATTAGATTATTCAAATTGGATGGGATTGGATTGTAAGGGGGTTAGATTAAGTTTGATCGAAATAATTGTGTTTAAATAATATTTAAAAAAACAAATTTTAATTTTAAAATATGTTATTAATTACCTGGGCGCATAGCTCGCTGCATTCATCAGCAGTTCTGGTCATTCTATCTCCTCCAATTCTTTGACCGAAAAATCTTGAATCTGAAGATAGTATTTTTTCTTTCAATTTTCTTTATTTCTTGTCTTGTCTTGTCTTGTTTTGTCTTGTCTTGTCTTGTCTTGTCTTGTCTTGTCTTGTCTTGTCTTGTCTTGTCTTGTCTTGTCTTGTCTTGTCTTGTCTTGTCTTGTCTTGGCTTGTCTTGTCTTGTCTTGTCTTGTCTTGTCTTGTCTTGTCTTGTCTTTTCTTGTCTTGTCTTGTCTTGTCTTGTCTTGTCTTGTCCTGTCCTATCTTAATGGCTAATAATGATTTTATATGATTTTATAATTTTATCCCTCTAACACTTTTATCACCTTTACTAGCGCATTTGATGTCTTCCTTTTCTATCAAATCTTCCTTGGCATTCTCTTGAGAATCCATTTTTTCAATCTCCAATCTCGGTTCACCAAACTCCTCATTGATAGCAACATCTCCAACAAGAGTTATCAGATTACCGGCATCATGCAGCTCAGTAATTGCTTTCGAATCTGAGAAAAAAATCAAAGATTTCAAATCATGAAAAGTAGATTTTGAAAACGATTTGTCTAAATTATTGTATTTACCCTGTCTCAGGAGATTAGTTTGAACAATGGCAGATATTCCGCACGCAATGATGGTTCCAATCAGAGTTATAAAGAAGACGACTAGAAGAGGCTGCTCAGCGAGAAAATGAATCGTGTGCGGCCCCTGCGCAATTAAACCGGAATTAAAAATAATCAATTTTAAGATATCATATATGATCTGACGAAGGTTTTCAAGGTACTGTTGTGAATCGCTCATGCTATGAATTGAGAGTCATTTACAATTACATCTACAATCCCTTTAATTTTTTTCGATAAGATTTTGATTCAAATTGATTTTCTTGATTTTCCAAATAGACCTGGCGTGGAAGTATTTGAGCAGCAGAATGATCTAGCTGCTGATGAATGTGCTCAAGCTCCTCGGAGAACTGATGCCTACATAGGGAAGCAAAGATAAATAAAATTAAAAATATATATATTCCTTTATAAAAAGCTGGTTTTTTGGTATGCAATAATTTTCATTGAAACCCGGCGGGATTTTTCATTAAACACTGCATTGAAAAATCTTAGAAATGCGCGATTTTTTTTTTACAAAATTCACAAATTCCAATTTTAAATCAGTGCTTTTTAAAAAATGAATGTCATTTACTATTAGCGAGGATTTACCAGGGAGAACTGCTAAATTTACCGGGAATTTACTTTTCCAAATGTTTTCCAGACTTTTTTGACAAAATTTCATCATGAAGGTTAATAATAAGGTTAATAATGTTGCTCAGAATGGGATAAAAATAATTCTGTATCAGCCAGCTGCAGCCTGCAGATATTTTATCAATTAAAATACAAAATATCAACGTCATGAGAAATTCAATCATTTGGTTTATTGATTGATTTTTGTAATTTTGTCGTTTTGCGGCAACACAAACCTTTAAAGAAGTTTTAAAATTTTTTTGACAATAATAATTCTCTTAAATATTAAATAATAGAGCGCTTACATCCAAACTTAAGTGTAAAAATTTCTAGTATATACTCTATCCGAATGAGTGAAAGAAATAAAAGTGTAATATATATTAAAAATTGTAATATGTATTAAAAAGTGTTATATACATTAAAAAGTGTAATATATATTAAAAATTGTAATATACTTTAAAAAGTGTAATATGTATTAAAAAGTGTAATATGTATTAAAAAGTGTAATATACATTAAAAAGTGTAATAGGTATTAAAAATGTTTCATTATCAATATAAAATTAGTCCAATTATTAAATACCCCGCAATTTTTAGTTCTTCTTGCATGAAACTATGATGCACGTTTCCGTACATGTTAACTTTATACTTAATTTCAATATAAAAAGGCTTTAATTAACATCTTATTAAAGTTTTTGGACTCACATTTTTCTCTGTATCTTGGAGGTTCTGGCTAACGCTTATACAAAATATTATCTAAAAATTAAAAACTTCAACCTTCTCGAAAATAAAAAATATTTGTCCTAAAACTGTATAGCACTGAAAATCAAAATTATAGTGTTAAAGATACTTATATAAAGTTTTAGTAACTTAGCATTAATAAAATCTGATTTCGGATAGAATTTTTCCTACCGTATCCGTTGAAATCTAAAAGGATCATTTCTGTGAACTTTATGTTGGAGTCCTAGGACACGTCGGAGAGTAGAGACTCCTTGATCAACTCCCCTCTCAAGCTCTACAACTCCACCACTCACTTAAACAAAAATATATGACGTTCTAACTGTATTTCTATGCACATGTGTACCCTCACTCAGTCCTAGGTTTGAAGATACCAACCCATATTTACTTTTGGTGGCAGTAGTTTTCAGTCCCTAGATTTTGTAGGTTCTTTAAATGATTTTACTCTAATTAAATATTTAAAAATAATATTTCTCTATTTCTATATTACATTTTCTTGAATAATTGTTCTGTAGAATGTAGTAAAATTGTAAAAATTATTAAGATTAAATCCTATAAATAAACCTTTCAGGGTTTAATTTTCATCTTTTTTATTTTTCTGATTTGTCCCAAATGCAATAAAATATCAAACTATATTTTTATTCTCAGTTGGTCCGTGTTTTTATTTGTATCCCTAAGATCTTTTAGTTTTCCAAAAACTCTGATTTTCTAATCCCTATATCTTTGCAATCCCATGTCGTAAACTTCAAATATTTCTAACTATGAAATATGTGAGATCCCATAATCAGAGGTTTACGTCATAATATTGAAAAGAAATAGAGATTAGAACGTTTGAGTTTGTGGTAAACACTCAATTTCTTTTTCAACTCCTTAGAACTTTCAAGTTTCATATAATTTTTCTCAGGGGTTTTGTTTGCTACCAGTTGTTTAAATTTATACACCTTTTCATATTTTTATTTTGATGCTTTAAAGGTTTGATCATTTAACTGTGAAAGCTGAAAGTATTAACTTGAACCTGTATCAATGATCCCCATAGCAGACCTAACCTGACTAATCTCATGTATTGACATGATTGCTTGTACCCCCTCCACCTCATTCTTAACCATAGTCAACCCTTTACATACAAATTCCTTCCACCTGTACTTTTATTAATGATCACGTTCATCTAAACTTGATCACTTTCTAATAGAAGTAAATTTATCATTAAGTTAGCCTGGAGAAATGTAAACCATGGAGTAAATCAGAAGTAAACCTGGTATAAAACCTTGATTAAACCTTGATGAAACCTAAAGTTAACCTGGAGTAAACCTGGTGTAAACCTGTTGTAACCCTGGTGTAAACCTGGTGTAAACCTAGAGTAAACCTAGAGTAAACCTAGAGTAAACCTGGTGAAAACCTGAAGTAAGCCTGGTGTAAACCTGGTGTAAACCTGGTGTAAACCTAGAGTAAATTTTGTGTAAACCTGGTGTAAACCAAGAGTAAATCTAGAGTAAACCTGAAGTAAACCGGTGTAAAACCTAGAGTAAACCTGAAAGAAACCTGAATTTAACTTGGAGTAAACCTGAAGTAAACCTGTAATCCTAGTGTAAACTGAAGTAACCTGAAGTAAACCTGTAGTAAACCTAGTTTAAACCTCGAGTAAACCTAGTTTTAACCTCGAGTAAACCTAGTTTAAACCTCGAGTAAACCTAGTTTTAACCTGGAGTAAACCTAGTTTAAACCTGGAGTAAACCAAGTTTAAACCTGAAGTAAACCTGAAGTAAACCTGTAATCCTAGTTTAAACGGAAGTAAACATGAAGTAAACCAGTAGTAAACCTAGTTTAAACCTCGAGTAAACCTAGTTTAAACCTCGAGTAAACCTAGTTTAAACCTCGAGTAAACCTAGTTTTTACCTGGAGTAAACCTAGTTTAAACCTGAAGTAAACCAAGTTTAAACCTGGAGTAAACCTAGTTTGAACCTGGTGTAACCCTAAAGTAGTACTGGAGTAAGTATAAAACTCAAGTAGTTAGACCAATCCCCAACTACACTTTCTATCTGTAAATATTTTTCACTACACAAGGCCCCCCTCCCTCACCCCTTTCCTTACCCTTCCTTACAAAACAAATCATCTGATTTTTCCCCTCAGGCAAATACATAATCTTCTCTACTGATGACTTATGGGCTTCCCTAATCCTTATTCCCCAAGCATATGACCCCTCCCCCATCCTTCCCCCACCCCTTTCCCGCTCTTTATCAATCCCCCCCCCTTCCCTCTTGATCCAACCCACTCTGATCTAGTGCAACCCCTGTAATTATATCTTCATAGCCAGGGATAACATTCAGAACCCACAAACAGATAGATAGATAGATAGATAGATGGATAGATATATAGATAGATAGATGGATAGATAGATAGATAGATAGATAGGTGGATAGATATATAGATAGATAGATGGATGGATAGATAGATAGATAGATAGATATATAGATAGATAGGTACATAGAGAAAGGAAACGAAGAGATAAAGCTTACTTCAGATGTACAAGTGTTAGGTTCTGCGTACAAGTGTTGGGTTCAGTGTACAAGTGTTGGGTTCAGCATACAAATGTTGGGTTCAGTGCAAAGTATTGGGTTCAGTGTACAAGTATTGGGTTCAGTGTACAAGTATTGGGTTCAGTGTACATGTGTTGGGTTCAGCGTACAAGTGTTAGGTTCCGCGTACAACTGTTAGGTTGGGTTCAGTGTACAAGTGTTGGGTTCAGTGTACAAGTGTTTGGTTCAGCGTACATGCGTTGGGTTCAGCGTACAAGTGTTTGGTTCAGCGTATACGTGTATTGGATTCAGCGTTTACAAGTGTTGGGTTCAGCGTATACATTTGTTGGATTCAGCGTATAAAAGTTTTTGGTTCAGTGTATGCATGTGTTGGATTCAGCGTATACATGTGTTGGGTTCAGTGTATACATGTATTGGGTTCAGCGTATACATGTGTTGGGTTCAGCGTATACAAATAATGGGTTCAGCGTATACATGTGTTGGGTTCAGCGTATACATGTGTTGGGTTCAGCGTATACATGTGTTGGGTTCAGCGTATACATGTGTTGGGTTCAGCTTATACATGTGAGTGTTGGGTTCAGCGTATACATGTGAGTGTTGGGTTCAGCGTATACAAGTGTTGGGTTCAGAATCAGCGTATACAAGTGTCAGGTTCAGCGTATACAAGTGTTGGGTTCAGCGTATACAAGTGTTGGGTTCAGCGTATACAAGTGTTGGGTTCAGCGTATACATGTGTTGGGTTCAGCGTGTACAAGTGTTGGGTTCAGCGTATACAAGTGTTGGGTACAGCGTATACAAGTGTTGGGTTCAGCGTATGCAAGTGTTGGGTTCAGCATATACATGTGTTGGGTTCAGCGTATACATGTGTTTATAGAATTTAAATTAACTGATTTTATCATTGACAGTTAGTTTGAATACGAACTAAAGATATCCTATCAGATGAAATAAATGAATTCAAAACTCATTTGTAATCAACTCTTTCTAGTTTATATCCAATATTTAAAAGGGATTCTTTTACATATTCAATTCTAGATATTGAGTACAGAATATCCTAAATTATTTAAATAAAAATCTATGTAAATAAACCCCTGTGTTTATAAGTTATATTGGATTCTGTTTACAAAATATCGGTTAGATAATAAAGTTTTACCACGATTATTCTATAAAATAAAACAAGACATTCGTATATATATATATGTGTGTTGCGTATAGCCGGCAAAACGGCTGGACCGATTGGGCTGAAATTCTTTGTGGACACTCGTGGGTGACCGGGGGGTGTTAAAGGCTAAAAAAATGAGAATTTTTTTTAAAACATTTTTTTCAAATTTTTTTCCCACGGGCAACACCGGGTCCTTCAGCTAGATGATAAATAATATTCTCTTTACCTATTTTATTTTTGCGAACAATCTATTTAGCATAAATCTTTTGTCATCAATTCTCAAAACTTTTTTTTCGGTCCTTTTTGAAAAGTATTTATTGAAGCAAAATAAACTAATTTTTTAAAAAGAAAAAATATTTTAAAACTTAAAATATGTTTTTATTTCAAAAGTGTTTAGCAATCATATTAAAAAAAGTTTAAATAATGATATTGAGCAATTAGTCTCTTTAAAACAATATTTTTCGATTCAGAACTTATAATTTTGCATTTAAACTGCATTACGTAAAATAGGAATAAACTAATTACTCTGAAAACTGCAGAAATGCATTTCAAATATCTTTATTAGCAAACAATGCAAAAGTTGCAAATTTAGACGAATTGACGATATTTTCTGCATTAAAGGCAGTGCGCCGACGATGCCATATATTTATTAAAATATGTGTTTTCTGTAAACAGTTGAAGGAAGGATGATATTTCTTCATATTTCCTCGTTAAACCTTCAACCTAAAGGTTGCTTGTCAATTTAGAGTTAAGATGGAATAAAATTAATTGTCTTTAAACCTCGCTTCCTTCTTATTCTTGGTTCAAATTCTTCGTAAATATGAAAACAAAACAATGTTTGACCATGAAACTCTCACTTTAAGAAACTGTAAGCGTAATTTCAAGTGACCCTCCATGCAAAGATACCTTTAAAAGCTTTGTCTGATCAAGTATGAATTAGATATCAATGTTTTTGTTTTCTTAACTGTTTATTTTCAATTGTGGTTTCTCTACGAAAGTGACTAGCTCATACGAAGCACTGGAGAAAAAATAAACAATCTACGAGTCAAATGTTGTTATCTTCCACATTTGATCAGAGTAAGGATTCAAGGATACCGTTGTACATCTGGGATTGTAATCTTTGTATTGAGGGTCACGCTTACAGTCTCTTTAACTGTTGAAAGAGTCCTTAACTTTTTTGTTCGCAATATCCATTGATTAATTAAAAGAGAAGTTTCGCGCAGTCGGCGTAGAAAAGGCTTTCTCTGTCTTGTAATTCTACGCCGACTGCGAGAAACTTTTCTGGGCTTCGTTCGAAATTAAAGAATGCTCGGGAAATGACACTTTGTAAAATATCTCTAACATTGTTTTTAGTAATTTCGAACAAAAAATAGCAATGGTTCGATATTAAAAACACAAACCAAGGGTCACTTATAACTTTCTACTCTGTAATCACACAAAGTAAAATCGATTTTTTTTCCAAATATACATTAGCCCGTCTTTTTAACTTTATATATCAGCAGGGGCATATAATTTTAATTCTGAAGCCCCACCCTCTGGAAACAAATTTAGGTATGTAAAAATGACCCAGACATATGCGATATATTGTTGGAACCGTCTCATCAGTGGCTTTTACCTCCGACAGGTATGCAAAATCAGAAAACACCCAAAAAAGTGCAAAAATGAAAATATTTTGAAAGAAGGTGTTTTCTGATTTTGCACACGTATTGGAGGTGAATATGCCACTGATGAGATGGTCATTTTTTCATACGTAAATTTGTTTCCAGGGGGGGGGGTGCCCTTGAAACCAATAGATTTTTATCCGGGGTGTGTGCGCCCCAAAAGACCCCCCCCCCCCCTGTATGCGTCTCAGTTTGGGGGTGCCTTACTAATAAATTTCAGCTCGGCGAATACATCCTGTTCCTCTCAATTACTATTTACAATCAATACTAATCAATATATACCAACTTATACACAATCAGCTGATAATACAGGTGTACCAAAATTATTTGTTTTTATTATTATCATGTTGGATGCAAACAGATTAACAGAATCGTGATGGGATTTTAAAATTAATTATGTATGACATCATTAATTAGTATCAAATTTGATCCGAGTAATATAAGTTCCAATCCATTAAACAAAACACTATAAAAAGAAAATATAGAATACTTAAAATGCACTAATTCCTTTATCACCATTATTGAAAATTTTGTCTGACACTAATAATTAAAATTTCACCTGCTGTAAATTCAGCTGTACTGAATGTACATATTCACCAGTGACGTAAATTCAGCTGTACTGAATGTACATATTCACCAGTGACGTAAATTCAGCTGTACTGAATGTTTACATATTCTCCAGTGTCACCTATTTTCATTGATAATCTACTTAACTGTACAGTGAAAACCAGAAAACTCCAAAATAAGAAGACGACTTTATAGCAATA